TGAATGGTGTGCATAGTTTCTTTAAAACAATCAAACCTTGTCCTTAAATCTTGTGACATGAGAATTGGTGACAGAGAAGGGGAATGACCATTTAAGTAGCTACCACCGTCCAAAAATCTTATATTTACTCTTTGTACTAATTTTTTCAAAATGTTCCATTTATGAGGCAAGCTAGACCACCCCCATTTGGCCCTTATTGAGTCAAATAGTTGTGTTTAAGTGGGCCTTAATGGGTGCAGGCAGATTCTGGGAAAGTGACCATGAAGATTTATGTGGGCCTATATGGGCCATGCATGAACTTTTATATATAATATTTAGCTTTGCATTCATCTTTTGATCATCTTTCTATTGACGGTTGCATGTCTATATCTATGAAATATTCTAATAAATATAAAAAATTTAACTAAGAAGGGTCAAATTTTTGGACTGTTTTGTTTCTAAACAAACAATAAGTAATCTTGTAAAATAGATAAAAAATAAATAATTTGATAATTTTCTCACAAATTTATTTCATTTTATTACTTTTAGCAATGACCTTTGTATTTCCTACTATATCAATGAAGTCATTTGATATAGAAAATTTAAACATTTATATCTATACGTAGAATTTTCTTACTTGACTTTTCTCGCCTTTTGTAACATCAAAAGGATACCACTCATTTTGTATAATATTGTGATACATTCAGCTAGTGTTGATCATCCTCTAAATAATCACATGAAAACAGTATAACAGTTCACCAAACATGTTTAGTTTTTCATCCCCTTTATGAAACATCAGATAAATTTGAACATTTAATACAAGATATCTATTTCAACTATGGATATTTGTATCTCACTGAAACCATTTAAATTTCTATCACGAATTGAAGGTGCTTTATGTCTAGATATCGTAATTTTTTTCTTTTTATTCTAATTTAGAATGTTCACATTTTTGGTTTTGAGTACCTTGGAATTGAATTAAAAAAAATCGAAGATACAAATCATCATAAATTATACAAGTTCATAAATAATCATCATTAATCAAAAGTATACTGATCAAACAACAAAATCGCAGGTATCATATTAGATAATATCACTCTAAGATTTGAATTTCGAAACTATTTCTGCATGAAAATCGTTAAATTATATTCAAGTATTTTATTACTGCCCCTAGATGTGATAATCTATGTACTCATGACTAATCATATTTGAAATATCTCAAATAATATATTCAAAGGAATCTGAAGATATAGTGTAATAATTTGATGTTGATGAGGCACAATCAACTGAATCAATCAATGCACATTGCTCCATACAGAAGAATATAAGATGTTTTGTGATGAAGCACAACAAATGTCATTGTTCCTCCTAAATATATACATAATTTCTCATGATTGTTGTTATTTTTCTAATATTTTTGTCCCTGAATTTTTTTAATCAACTAAGTTTCATTCGACAAAATTCATTCAAAACATAACTCCATTTGAATTGAACTATATTTGACTTTTCTTTATCTATTAGTGAACTTCAGCATATAATCTCCCTCAAAATATGAGAGAGTTTATTCAAAAAAATTGAAAGAGGACTAAATTTAAGAAAACAAATTTGAACAACTGCACCCCCTAAGTAGATGCATATATTTTTTTTATTTCTTTCTCATCTTTAGACATAAAAGAAGTTATAAATCAAATGGTGGGAGTAGGAAACCAAGATTAATTTTTTGGTGGTGTTATCATCTGAAATTTTTGTAATCTATAATTAGGCTGATAGTTGGACAGAAAAATTTCTTAATAGATGAATTGCATACTCCAGAATCCCATGAATTTTTTTTGGAACATTCAGAAATTTGAATTATCTGTGGAAAGAATATTTTTAAGTGTTTTTAAGCCAAATCTTAGTTAAAAAAAATTATGATTTCTAATTGATCCTCACTCAATCTAGAATTTCAAATTTCATCAGTATTCATTTCATTGAATCTATTTAAAATTCAAACATCAGTATCAATTAACTCATAATATTATAAAACTAGTTCTCAGATATCAATCGAGCAAGGCTATTCAATGAGTATGAAATTTCTGAAATTACTTTCTTTCTAAATCATGTATGTAGCAATTTTTAATCAGCCTTAGAATGTAAAATTATTGAAGAAAGACATATCAATGAAGTTTATGAGATTTCTATGTAGAAATCTATAATTTGGATTGACAGTTGATAGAAGTCAATAATTATGTATGTTTAAGTTGACTGTAACATGATCTGATCAAGATTGAAAGTATAGCTTTGATTGTTTCCTAGGAATTACGATTTCATGTTGGCAGCATGACTAAAGATACTAAACTTCAGAAGTAGATGTGAACTGAATTCTCTAATATATTTTTTAAAAAGTAATGATTTTACATTCAAAATTAGTTTATTTTTCCCAAATAGATTACCAATTATGATTTCAATATGGACCATCATTACTTTAATCACTTATATTAAAATCAGTTTTCAAATAATGTTCAAAAATATTATGAATAGCTTTAATAGCCACATCATCAAGAACAGTTACAAGTATTGATGTTACAAAATGGATGTTTAGTATACTAGATCCACTTTTATATCCATATTTTACATTAAAAATTCTTGTTAATTCTAGTGTAGTAATCTTTGTTGTTACTTTACATCCGTGGAATTTTTTAAAACTATTAGTATTTCCTGTGGTCATAAACAAAGTAATAATTTTGAGTGGCAAATTCATCAAAATTTTGAAATCCAAAAGTATAAGAAGTCAAATAAATTCTTTGACTTGTCATCTAGATATGTAATACCATTATTTTGACTTCTTGAATTTGTACTTAATTAATTTAATTCTGATGTCTAAAATAATATTCATTCTCAATTCATGTACGATAACTTAATCGATTAATTTTCTGTGTATTTATTATCATTAAAATATTATTTATTTGATATGTCAACAATATGATTGCTAGTTACAAAAAAACAATCTTGGGAAAGTCAAATTAGATGTGTGTTCTAGAATATTCATCAACTTAGAGGTGTTCTAGATGTGTGTTCTGTTTTCAAAAAGAAATAGTGATGATAATTGACTCTTTGACTATGTTGATTCGAATCATGTAGCTTTGTCAATGATAAAAGCAGAATATGTAATTGTGGAGAGGGAGCAAAATCATCCTTATGACTGGGTCGTGTATAAAAATATTTTAATGTAATTTGATGATTAAAGTATCACACACCTAACTAAGAAAAAGATATATCAAGAGCAGACCTAACACATCGATATCAAATATCACTTTATTGAGGCCATCAATGTCGAGTGATTAACATAAATTTGAGGATGTTACTGGTTTAGGTTGTGGGAAAGGATGATAGCTTCTTCAGTTTATGATTCCCTTCATACTATTAGGAGTATTCAAATCCACGTGGCATTCTAGGGATATCTTTAATTGTGCCAATGGAATGCGCCTAATGAGAGACTATTCTCCAGAAGTCTACAAAACTGGTTGGCACACTTAGAAACTCCATCTTGGTAAAATGTCTGGGGAAAGGTGATTTAACATTGCTGAAGCATCCACACTTGATTTAAAAAATCACAATCACTTTTTCTCTGATTTTAATAACATTTATTTCATTCAATAGTTTCCTCACTTAAGAAATTTCGATAGTCCTTTTCCCAACCATAAAGGCTTGAAGTATACGAAGTGTGATACTGGACACGAATTTTAAATGAATATAATTTAATATTTCATTGACAATTATTCCATAACAGCTTGCCCTAGATTACACGAGACAACGAAGCTTTGAAATTTTTAGACAAAGGTAATTCGAAGAAAAGAGCACCAAGGAAAACATGCCGATTTTTCTTTTTCAACAGATGGGATCTTAAGGGATTAAAATATCACAGATAAAACTAATATTAAGAAATGTTTACTGCCCCAAGACTTGTTCGAACAAACGTTTAAAACATAGAGCAAAAGTAAGTCAACACCATGAGGCTACACATGACTGTAAAAGCGCCATCGTACTATTTACCATGTATTTATTTTGTGCCTATAACACAACTAGCGCACTTCCGCCTACTTAACCATTATCTATTCTTAATCCTTGTTCATAAAAATTATCTGCCGAATTCTACAGAAAATTTGTTGCTTAATGGGTTAAAACGGCGCACCTTAGTCAAACATATTTGTTGCTAATGCTGAAGGAGAATTCACTTCGAATTACATATTAATTCCCATACAACTTTCTTTCTGTTTCTCAACATTCAATTCTCTCTTTTGAACTTGCCTAGGACCTTAGCATTTACCTGATTTATGGGGAAACTCGAAGTCAAGGGCAATGAATATTTTTGAAATCCTATCACCGACTGTATACGTGTTCAGAACTTGAGACTGAAACATGGAAAAGTAAGTTTATGTTCGAAGATTCCCGGGTATTGTTTTCTTCCTTTGCTTGCCGTCGCAGCGTCTGGCTTTAGTGACCAACGCATTCACGGCGAGGAATATGTGACTCGGCATCATTCTTCTTCTGCAATCCCGTGATGATCATGTCTTCTCCTGGATATTGCCTCGGGTTCAGGTAATGTGATCTGCGATTTGGTTCATTAAGGAAATGGTAATTGCCCAGAAGAGGTCGCATCAGATCAGCTGCCTCATCTGCGTCAACGTTCTTCCCTGAACTTCCTTCGTTCTTGTTGTTTGATATTGATTACGAGGTGATATAATACAGTTTAACTTTGTCTATAAAAAATTAAAAAAAAAGAGAGAAACGCCGTTGGTTCGCTGACAACTATGTGCACCTCATAAGAAGTCTCTTCTAAGTTGTTTCATCGCGTTTATCCCATATCATTATCTCGGAGAATTAGCAGCGTGGTCTCCATGCCTCTCATTGCACCTGCCTGTCGATGTGCACTTCGAAAAAGTCATTTAGGCCTTCGTCTACATAAGAGAGGAGCACCATGCTTGTTCCTATTGATCGGCAGAATAGAGTAGGGGAAACGTCAGAGAGCAGTATCTCCGAAGATGCGTTCTTCTCGCCGTGTTCATCTTTCAATTCTGTGGTTTTTCCTCTTTTCCCAGTGGCCGACGACTACATCCGCCGTCAGAAAGGCAGGCATCATTTCTCTAGTGTTTTTGTTGTCATTCTTTGGTTCCGAGTCAGCCGTCTTTTTTCTGATCACACCTTGTGTTCCTCTTTCTATGATCCAGTCGTATGTTGTGTACATGGGTAGCCATCCTCGGACTCGAGGAGAAGGTTTCTCGGTCCAGACGGATGAGGTGACCGCCTCCCATTACGAGTTTCTCGGATCATTCCTAGGCAGGTGATTGAAGTCTAATTCCAGATCCATGGACATCTGATCTCCTCTTTACTAATCCTTTCAGGAAGATCTTAAGCAGCCCTTTGTGTGAATTATGTTGCAGCAAGGAGAAGGCACAAGAGGCCATCTTCTACTCATATACGAGGTACATCAATGGGTTCGCAGCAGTTCTCGACGAGAAGGAGGCGATGGAGATATCAAGTGCGGTGCCGCTCTCTCATCTGTTCCGGCGACTCCATCGTCCATGTTCCCTCATCTTTATTTCTAAATTACCTCCGTTTTTGCATTCCTTGGCGTAAATAACTACAGAGTCACCGCGGGTCATGACGGTGTTTCCTAACGAGGGACAAGAATTACACACGACGCGTTCTTGGGAATTCCTAGGACTGGAGGTCGATGGCATAGTGACGGCGGACTCCATATGGACGAAGGCGAGGTTCGGGGAGGACACCATCATCGGGAATCTTGACACTGGTATTGCTGCCCCCATGCGCTTTTTTCTTGGTTCTCTTTTCTCTTTTCTATCCATCAGTTAAGATGAAACCGGCCACTCAATTGACAAAGGCTGAGACTCAATCCTTTGGATTTGTTCGTTATCGACTTCAACAAAGGGGTCTGGCCAGAATCCACCAGCTTCAACGACAAAGACTTGGGGCCCGTCCCGTCGAGGTGGAAGGGGATCTGCGAGAACGGCCCCAACGACCCTTTTCGGTGCAACAGGTACGATGCCCGAACCTAGATTTCCAACTCGACTCAAAAACGCTGCAATGATCACTATCGTCCAAATCCTTGAGCCGATATCTATACTTATGATCCTGAACACTACGATCTTACGTGACTAAGGTGTCACTCGGTTGGTCGTAGTTCCGTGTACTTCTTTTCCTCCTTATGTTCTTCTATCCTCTGTCATAGATGGATCAAGTAGTTCTTCCCCACCATGTGGAATATTCAATTACCCATAATAAAAATCCCCGATATATTCTTGTAGAATTTAGGAATGGGATACATTCTTAAATAAAAGAAGTTCTTTGGCGGCCAACAGCCACGATATTGATGCATGGTGGAATCCCGTTGACGCAGGAAATTAATAGGGGCCAGATCTTTTAATAAGGGCTACGTGGCTGCCGTAGGCACCAGTGATGCCAGCGTGAAGACGACTCGGGATTTCGACGGCCACGGCACTCATACCCTCTCCATCGCCGGCGGCGCATTCGCGCCTGGAGCCAGTCTCTTCGGGTTTGGAAACGGCACAGCCAAGGGCGGGTCTCCCAATGCCCGCTTGGCGGCGTATAAGGTCTGCTGGCCAATATTAAGGGACACCTTGTGCTTTGACGCCGACACCATCGCTGCCTTCGACGCAGCCATCCATGACGGCGTGGATGTGCTATCCGTATCCCTTGGTGGGCCCCCCAGCGACTACCTCGGGAACGGAATTGCCATCGGATCTTTTCACGCAGTAAAGAACGGGATCACCGTGGTATGCTCTGGAGGGAACTATGGCCCTTACTGGGAAACGGTGTCTAACGTTGCGCCATGGATATTCACCGTCGCCGCCAGTACAGTTGACCGAGAGTTCCCCGCCTACGCGGTGCTTGGAAATGGCAAGCAACTCAAGGTCGACCGCCACTTTTGCCACTAAAACCAGACTGTCGGAAACGTACTGAAGCTCTACTCCGGTTGTGATTGACTGGTGCAGGGTCAAAGCTTCTCCAGCACCATCCTGCCGCCGGGCCGCTTCTACCCTCTGATCACCTCCTTGGACGCTCGAGCTCCCAATTCGACCCTCGACGAAGCGTAAGGAGAATGACCATGTTGCTTCCTCCATTAACTGTGTTATCCTATCATGATTTCCGTCACTAATATCGGGGAGGGATTTGGAAATGGCAGTGCGTTCTGCTTCATAGGAGCCTTGGATCCGCAGAAGGTGAAAGGAAAGATTGTGGTGTGTTTTGTTGGGAATGTCACCGGGGCAGCGAAGAGTCGGGCGGTGCTCCTGGCTGGTGGTGTGGGTATGCTTCTGCCAAATATCCCGAACCAGGGAAACAACGTAATAGCTCAGGCATTTGTCCTCCCCGCCCTTGGCCTTTCCTTTCGAAACGGGGGCATCCTTGAGGCTTACATGAACTCCGCCAAGTAAGTAGATTTAGAGATTTCTACGTATAATAATTTGCGTTACATTTGTTAAAGGAATGAGATATATTTAATTATCTAAAGTTAAAGATAACAGCCGCCAGTCCTCTATCCTGTTGGACGGAAACTAAGCAACGGTCTTTATAATAACATGAAATCAATTGGGTCAGAATTAGGTATAGTTTTGGGAAATCTATGTATTTAGGATTGAAATATGATCTAACATTATTGGAAGACGGACTAGTTTTCTCTGTTTTTGATACTCCTTGTTTCTTTCTTTCCCAAAAATGAAATGGTTGTTCCAGCATCGTTCTGTTCGTTCAATTAAATTTACAATAAAATTGTATAATGTAAGGTAGAAAAGTCAAGAGCAACTAAATCCTGTCAAAAATCTGTTTCAACAGAGTTATTGCTTAGCGACGCTAATTCAACAGCTTTTTATTTTAGATTAAGGATAAAACAGAAAAAAATGTCTTCTTTTACGAAAAGGTTGGGACCATATCCTAGGCTGTCCCCTTACAAGACACTTGCTCGGTTGCAGGTCCCCAGTTGCTAGCATCAGGCCGCCAACAACAGCTTTGGGCACAAAGCCGGCGCCTTTCATGGCATATTTCTCATCTCGAGGACCTAACGTTATCAACCCGGAGATACTCAAGGTCGGCTTTCAACCATTTCTCTCATTCCTTCTCTTCCCCATCCTCTCTATCACTCCCCTCCCATCATCTCCATCCTTAACACCTTCTCTTTCCTCCGTCTCCCCTGTGTCTCTCTGTCGATCTAACTCTTCTTCTCTGCCTCTCTCTCTCTCTCTCTCTCTCTCTCTCTCTCTCTCTCTCTCTCTCTCTCTCTCTCTCTCTCTCTCTCTCTCTCTCTCTCTCTCTCTCTCTCTCTCTCTCTCTCTCTCTCTCTCTATCTATCTCTCTCTCTCTATCTATCTCTCTCTCTCTATCTATCTCTCTCTCTCTATCTATCTCTCTCTTTCTCTCTCTTTCTCTCTCCCTCGCATCTTCAGTCTGTTCCTGCCCCCCTTACCCTCCTTGTGTGTTAATATATCGTTCCATCCTTCTCTCTATCCCTTACCTTCTCCAAGTCCGTAAATGACGCACGTATTCTCAAACTCAGCAAAGTCTCCGTTAAATTGTCTACAGCCGGATATCACCGCGCCGGGTGTGAGCATCCTCGCGGCCTTCACAGAAGCAGCCGGCCCGTCCAATGAGCCCTTCGACACTCGTACGGTTCCGTTCAACTCGCTATCTGGAACGTCAATGTCGTGCCCTCACATCTCCGGGGTCGCTGGCCTACTGAAAACCCTCCACCCGGACTGGAGCCCTGCAGCGATCAAGTCGGCCATCATGACTACCGGTGAACTTCCTCAACAGGCCGTCAAACTAGGTGTATATCACGCTCTCTTCTCCATCTCATCTAAATCTGTGGTTGTGTGGGGCCGTGCAGCGACGACCGAAGACAACCAGAGAAATCCCATACTAGACTCGTTCTTCTTCAATGCCACCCCGTTCAGCTACGGCGCCGGGCACGTCCACCCGAACCGCGCGATGGACCCCGGCCTGGTCTACGATTTGGCAACGGAGGACTACCTCGACTTCCTCTGCGCCATGGGATACAGCACCAGCCAGGTGGCCGCCTTCTCCGGGACGTCCTTCTCGTGCCCTCTCAACCCTCGCCGCCCCCTGGACCTCAACTATCCGTCCATCACGGTGCCACGGCTCTCTGGCCGGACGACCGTCTGGAGGAAGGTGAAGAACGTCGGCACGCCGGGCAAGTACGCGGTGCACGTGAATGCGCCGCCTGGTATATCGGTGACGGTGGATCCAGTGAGCATCGAATTTACGGATTACGGGCAGGAGGAGTCATTCAATGTCACCTTGGAAGCCAATGTCGGTGCAGTGGCTGGTGAATACGTATATGGGAGGCTAACATGGTCGGACATGATTCATAATGTGACAAGCCCTCTAGTGATCGGTATCGTCTAAGGCGAGCAAGGTCTAGTGAAGACGTGGAGGAATCCATTTATTGCAGCACCCCGTCCACGTTCAATGATGTAATAAGAGAACTTTAAACATTCTTGAATGATAGGGGACAGCGGTTCTTTAAACTCGTAGTACAAAAACAAAATGATAACTACTTGTACAAAATTGGAGAATGAGTTATAATAAATTACTGTAGTTTTGAAATCCACACTCAAGCAAGATGTTTTATCAATAAAATTTTCATTTCGTAACCGAACTTCTCCAATTGACTGGCCTTATATTCTTTGTGAAGTTTCGTTTAGAAATAGAGACATAGAGGTGAGGAAGATGGCCAGTTGACCCGTAATATAATTATTATGTCAACGTTAAGGAGTAGGTCCCCCCCACAGGTCGTCATTGTCTACTAATCTCCTTTAATTTTATGCTAACCCTACGCAGGTAGAGTATACATCCATAAATGATGTGAATATTTGCCCAAATATCAATTGGTTGACCTTCTCATTTCATGCACGAAGTGCTTGCGAAAATGGCTTCGGAATCCGCAAGGCTAGGCTAGACAAAACAATTCTAGAGGGCAATTGAGTCCTGCCGTCCACGCTAGATTATGGCTAGTGGGACCTGCCATCATGGGCCACACGCTTTAGAGCCCATCTGAGTCGTGCTAGGGTTCCATGAAAAATTGGTATTCCGTTAGTTTTGTAAATCCTTCTTTGGATTAATTTTAATAGGGCAGAAATAACGAGAAAGAGTAAGCAGAACTCGAAGATAGAATATTTTAGTTTGTAGGAATATCAAAAGAGTCAACTGAGAAGCTTCTCAGGCTACTTTTAGAGGAGAAATGCCCCTAGACCTTCTATTGATCCATTCTTCTTTCTAGAACTTTAGAGCGACCTTTTCCTGCGTTTTTATGTTCATTGCATGCCGTCTAGTTTTAAGTTCTCGTATTCATAGCACCCGAACGTACTTCCACGAGAGTTCATATTTATCCATTTAGTCACTAGGGGTTTAAAGGTTATGAGGTAAGTTCCTTCGTTTGGTTCCATAATCTTGTTTTCTAATGGAATACGTACTATACCGCACACTGTCATAATTGGTTTATCATGTGATGTATCTTTCAGAAGAAAGAATTGAGGCTCTGAAATCTCTCCGTACGAAGCGATTGCAAAGCAGAAGACCTGAATTTGATGGTGCTCATCACCAAATCGATATTAAGAAACATTATACAGTGGCAGAAAATTAATGACAATAACTTTCTTAAGTCATCTATCTTGAGTGGTCTCCCCAGTTCAATTGATCCCACCGTTCTTGACTACGCCGTATCTCTTCGATGATGCTCTTCGAGCTATGGAACCCAGAGTGGAGATTTTTCTGAATTCGGACAATCACAGTAAGTTGACTTCTAATGATAGACAAGAGAGGGATGCCGGATATGCCTCCTAAGGTTTTCGTACGTTTCACTGATCGCTAATCCCAAAATTAGCTCAATACGAATCATTCTCACGTTCAACCTGTGTTTGTTCTCCGATCCAAACAAATACCGTCAAAGATGGTAGTAACGGGTAGCATCTCCGACCCATCGCCCAGGAGCGATGACTCTCTCGTGCTGACCCCCTATCACCCAATCGACCATGAGGTCAACCCTTCTGTAGAATTCTGGGAGAAGACATTTTTCTCACCGAGTTCAGATGGGTTTCTTTGATCTTTCCCGTCGACTAGAAACCGCGCAGGCCCGAGAGAGGGAGAGGTGCAATGGCCCTCTAAGTAGATTCATCTTTCTGTCCGTTGACATCGAGTTTCAACGGAGTTGGAGCCTATCATGTACCTCCGCACTCATCCTGTGAGCTCCTCGGTGCCTCCAGTGAGTTTTCCCATCCATCTTTTGCTGCTGCGGCTTCCTTCATGGCCGGACAGACGACAGGGAGAGCGAGAAGCTGGAACCCACTTGTGAATAGTTGATCTTATGTTGACCGTTGACCATGTCGTGGACCGTTGACCAGTCGACCTAGTTGAATGGATGGTCTGTGACTCGAACCATATGGGGCAGCTGGTTTGGAGCAGGCAGTCTGAATGGTTAAAACCAGCGGGATGGGCTGGCTCGGGCCAAGTGATCAAACCGGTTTGGGCCAGACCGACAGTGAGGCGATCGGTTCAGGCTGAACCAGTAGGCCTGGGTCTGTGGTTCACAGCAATACGAACCAGTTGCCTTTGAACCCTGACCGGTTGAAGGAAAGAGAGCAGCACGAACAGACAAGGCCGAAGGCAGGGATGGGGGCAGCAGCAGCTAATAGTGATGGCGGTCAGTGGCAGCAATGATGAGTGGAAGGTGGCAGTCGACGGCAGAAGTGAAGACAAGGATGCTGGCAGTGGCGGTGGATGGTGATGGCGGACAGTGGCAGAAACGACGGGGCGTAAGATCGCAGTGGATGGTAGCAGCGACGGCGATAATGGGCAATGAACAAACGACGGATACTGACGGCTGATTATGGCTCAAAACGGCAACTATGTGATGGACTGATGTAGCCTAAGACATAAGTTGAAGTCTCAACTTCAAATTTAGGCCCACTTATCTTAAATTTGGGCCATAAAGTGCAAAGTGTTAAAAAAGTAGCCTACATATGTCACCAATAGGTTAAAGGTCTGAAAAGTAATATTTATTTTCTACTTTATGTCTTTTCACTTCTAGAAGTTACTTTATATTTCTTTTCTTCTAAAAGTGACATTAATGTCGTTAAATATGTACCTAAGAACTGTTCAAGATCTCTAATTATCAAAGTCTGTACCCAAGATCTATTTAGTATATCTACATGTCAGTGTCTATTTCAAGTTATTTTAGAATTAGTTATAATATTTTCAGAAGATTTATCCAAGATCTCAATCTATCATGATATATTTTAAATCATTTTGGAGCTAGTCAGACTCTATCCTTGAGATCCGTTAGGATCCTTTTTTTGGAAGCACCTCACCTCTTTTCTAACCTTATATAAAGGCTTCCATTATAACTTGAGGTTCTCATTTTTTAGTTGAATCAGTTTTCTCTACTATGAGAACCTTTCTCTATTGCTTGTGAATTTGAGTAACCTCTTATGAATTTAAAAGTTGAAGACTCCGAATTTATAGATTCAGAGGTTAATTTCTTCCCTAATATTGGAGCTTTATAGATTCAAGCCCAAATTTTGTTTATCTTCTGTGTTATTACTGCGTCACGGATGATGGTGCATGAAGACAGTAACAATGGAGGATGAAGGTGGTGGACAGCTAGTGGATGGAGGAAGGCAGCAATGGTAGGTAGTGGCTATATATGGCAGTGGTGTTGATAGATAACTTGACCCTCGCTGCCTCTCCTTGCAGAGAAAATGCCCCTCACGGCCTCTCCTCGCAGAGTGATAAGAGGTAAACCTCGAACTGATCTCTTCTTTAATTGTTCTTAAAGAAGAAAATTCTGCATTTATGGGCTTGGCCTACATCTTCAATACCCATCAGATTGTGAAATCCGAATAGCTAACTGACTTTCCTATTCATCTATCCAGTGGTCGGAGAGCACTATCACAGGAACATCATCGCTGGTAATACCATGAGATTATAAGTTTGGTCATTGACAACTAATCCTTGTTTACTGAATTTATCCATATTGCATTCTTACTCATGCATAGCATACCTGTGAAATTAGAGATCTACAGATGATCCCCCTTGCAGGGTCGACTTTTGGCTGCCTTCGCTGTTGAATGGAGAATTGACATTCCTATATCAGATCAAAAATATTTGATAATTTAGTTACCTTCCTTTTCGTCTTCACAAAGAGGTCATGATGAAGAATGTTGGCCACAAAGCGGCTGGACGGTCTGCACACAGAAGAGCTTTGAGCCGGGTGTGCCTCTCTCTACGGATTATATCAAAGCTTTTCAATTCTTTTACATTCTGTAGAAGAATGTATGGAGAAGGAGGAAGAGATAGGGAGAGAGAGAGAGCGAGAGAGAGAGAGAGGAGGGAGGGAGGGAGGGAGGGAGAGACAGACAGACAGAAACAGATAGAGAGACAAAGAGATAGAGACAGAGAGAGACAGAGAGAGAGAGACAAAGAGATAGAGACAGACAGAGACACAGAGAGAGACAGCATGGCTTCACTTAAACCATTTGGCACTGCACGATGTTGGTCCATATGAAGTAAGCGCTTGCGTTTTGTTCCCATAGTCCTTGATTACATCTAACACAAACAGGACGGAGATGGAAAAACTATAGGGTACCAAATAAAACCCTTCTGAATGGATATAAAATTGTCTAATTATAAAAAAATTAATTATTTTAATTCCTAAAAATAAATCTCGTCTTCTAAGATCTACGATACTTAAAAGGACACACTCAAGAGTTACAATACCCGCAGACTTCCTAATTAGTTTCCTTTAACACCTAGAACACTTTAAAGACACCTCAAAGGCTATAAAAGCCATTTACCCTTTCATTGTCCCAATTAAATGAGAGAATATTAAAACATACTACTAACTCTCATTAATAAGAGAAAGCACTCTCCCATATTGCTATCTCTTAGCTCTCAAAAGAGATGAACATTTAACTCTAGATAATTGCTACGGCGCATTAATCTACATCATGTTTACTATACGTAACAGCTTGTGCAATGTTAAGCAACTCTGCGAGTTGAAATGATGAACAGCATGATCGCTTCCATGGGGAGCAACTGATCACCTCTCGAGAAGGTAGGATGGCCGGCATTACTTGAAGCGACATGTATTCATGTATTATTTTTGCAATCAGGGTCCCAAGAAAGTTGTACAAATAGTGATAAAATCGTGGCATTTGAATTCCAAAACGTTCACGATAATCTAGATTCTGCCAAAAAGATAGGATCTATGATAACGACATTAGAATATTAAACCGAGGAAATTTTTTGAAACAGCTAGTTATTTTCATGGGAGCTCTCTAGAGCCAGGATAAATGTACGGATCATCAAACCACATATTCTTCAAATGACGACCTCATAAGAAATGAAACCTATGATAGACTGTCTAAGGAAGGATTTTGAAGCACATGATTTTTCGCTTTTTTAGATGACAAGTGATATAATCAAACTGACATGGATTGTTATAAGGAAAATCCACGCAAATTTTCTGCACAAGTCCTAGCATCCGTATAAAAAGAACTGAAAACAAATGATATGAATCAGGAACAATATGAGGACTCGGAACCAGCTGTTACCCAATTCCAATATGAGGAATCTACACGGCATTCTCAATGGGTTAGGTTCTATAGAATCAGGTTCTCAGAATTCTTTCAAAGATTAAAAGCTCAAATCAAATCTTATAAGAAGATAAGCTTCGGCCAATTGAACACCAGTGCATCAGTACTATGTTTGCACATGTAAACTGGCCTTTTTGTAAGTTTTAAGCCGAGAAAAGACTATGCAGAGCCATTCAAAGGATAGCTTAGGAGGATAAAGTTCATAAAAAATAAGTCTCATCTATCCTGAGGAGGAAATAATTGAAGTTTCCTTTCACAACTTGCCCATTCATTTGGATGATAAGCTAATAACTAGGAATTGCACTATTAACAAGTCATTTAGGTTTGTGCATTTAATTGAAAGCTATGGACTTAGGTAAGTAAATCGTTCCTTGCACAAACACATCCCAAAGTAGGCTCAACTTAGCTAGTTCTCTGCAGAGAGAGCAGAAAAGTAAGCAGCATGCCAATAATGATAGCAAACATCAAGAAAGATGCATAATGCTGAATTCCTTGAAAATCTCATTGAAGGTGACACAAGTCCATGCATGCTTATAGATATTGTAGAAGCAAGCCGATATATGCTTCTAGATATCTCATAAACAAGTCCATAAATGCTTTCAGGTATTTAATCAAAACTTTTGTCATTTTTTGCTTCTTACTTATTGGCTTTGAAAAATTATTTTCAACTAATGATGCTCATGATTCATCCTTGTAAAGTCCAAAAATGATTGAGCTTAGATCATAATATTGCCATGATAACATTGACCAACGCTATGAGCACTTATTGCTAGGGTCAAAAGGAGTTGCATCGCTAGAACTATACCCCAAATTCTATATGGAATGTATGTAGTCAACATGGGTGTTTTCTTTGTCCCATAGTTTTTTACCATGTTTAGGTTTTCAGTATATACCTTATGGGCCATGCTGTATGCTATTCTCTCAACTTTTATGTCACTTGTTGTTCCTTTGGGTTTGTTGAGGGTGAGAATGAATCCACAAGGATTGAGATGGTTCTGCTGAATCAAAAAGAGATGATGCTTGTGTCAACAAGTAGAAAGTAATACTCAAAAAGAGAAAACAATCATAATAATTTAGGCTCGCTTGAAGTTAAAATGTGAAAACCTTTAATTAGGCCTAAAAATGTATAAAATCTCCCAAAACAGATATTGAGTCTATTTATAAAATAAACAACAAAGATAGAAATAAAAATAAAAGTAGATACATAAATAAAAATATAATAGGCTCTCCCCAACAGATTAAGTATGACTCAATATTTTAATAAAATCCTGGGCACTCTTTTACTCTTCTCATCTTTACAAACAATTTCTAAAGTAGTTGAGCTTTGGATTTGTGCTTCTCATGTTTTTGTACACTTTGGGCTACATCATTATACTAAATCATTTTTTTCAACTCGATGTCCACCATCATAGTAATGAATAGTGAATTCATCAACCTAGGAAGTTTGTTGTGGCAAATAAGAGGTGCATGGCCTTCATGAGGATATTATTAAATTGATGATATTAAATTAGAAATTCATTGGGGAATGCAATCTTGATTATTGTTACATGTATGGAAACGCATTGAAGTCATTGACATAGTATAGAAGGAATTAAATTAATGATCTTGATCGCAGGAAATATCTCATACTCATTCAATTTTTTGGCAATAATAAAAATGTTAAAGTTACAAGATATAAATATAATAAAAAATTGATTTAGAAGATATAAATATAATAAAAAATCTATATGAGATAAGCAGCCGCTAGGTTTAATGATTGTGGGATCCCTAGATGTCGTGGCTGGTGAACCACTTCTTCTTCTTCCACGAAGATTCAAACAAAACCAAGCTTATATAATTATTGGCATAATTGTTGGAGACTCAAATGATGGATATGCAAGCATGATAACTTATATGCTGTTCTATATCGCCATGAATCTGGGAAGTTTTGCTCGCATTGTATTATTTGGTCTACATACTGGAACTGATAACATTCGAGATTATGCAAGATTATACACGAAAGATCCTTTTTTGGCTCTCTCTTCAGCCCTGTCTCTTATCCCTAGGAGGTCTTCCTCCGCTAGCAGGTTTTTTCAGAAAACTCCATCTACTCTGGTGTGGATGGCAGGCAGGCCTTTATTTCTTGGTTTCAATAGGACTCCTTATGAGCATTCTTTCTATCTACTATTATCTAAAAATAATCAAGTTATTAATGACTGGACGAAACCAAGAAATAACCCTCACGCGCGAGGGCATATGCTCTATTACCAGTATTCAACCCTCGAATGTTATTCTAGCTGTCTTTTGTTTCAACTTCAAGGTTGTGTTACCGCTCATCCCCCAGCGACTTGTTGCTGTTAAAAGAGAAAAGCACTAACTAATTACCAAAGAAAGCCAGATCCAGCAAACGGAGTTCGGCCGTAGTGGTTAAAACGTTTTGAAGTGGATTAAAGGTAGAATGGAAATCTTAATATTTTTATTTTCTGTATCAAATGGCTTCACTATGACACATGAGCACCCAAGAGAAATTTATTTGAATGAACTAGTAGAATGAATAAAATTTCAAAAAAAAATCACAATGTTGATATATTACTTATTTTACAAGATAACTAAGGTTTTATTTTTTTTGAGAGGGTAAACAAATCTAGAAGTTTGACCTATCTAACTAAAATGACTTTTATCTGAGAAAATATGTCACAATAGAAATTTGATCAAAAGAAGAATATAAGTTAAAATTAATGTATCAAAATTAAGGGTATTATGAGAGTTATGGTTTTTTCAATATTTAAAATCATTTTTCTATGATAGCAAGGTAGCAAGTTGTGATCACATAATTTTATATTATTTACTTTCATATGTGGCTTGTGGACTAGTTGAGACACCTACAAAATAGATCTACAAGGTCCCAAATGAATTGGCTTATTCAAAAAAAGCCTTGTTCTTTGGAAGATCTATCTCGTGTCTAGTACTGCATGGTTCCACTTTGCAAGGACTCCAAATCCTTGTTGAAACTCATTCTCTTTATGAAAAATGATTCATTTGCCCTGAAATGACCTGGCCCATTTGGGAAATCCTAATTTATTGGTCCTCTCAATACAATCAAATAGATTGCCACAAGTGCAGCATATTCTTGGAGCCCAAACTATGTCTCAACAATACAATCACATAGGATGTGAAGACACCTATAATGTACCACTAATGAAGAGATCTATAACCTCTAGGATTAAAATTTTAGGTTGAGTGGTCACATACTCATGGAGCTGAATGATGTTAGGGGTGGTGGCATAATAAAATCATTTATATTTATGTGGTCAAATAAGAGAATTGAGGTGAATTCAATAGTAGATATAGACCAAAGGACTTTAACTAGGCCACTATAAATATTGTATCAAAATTTTACCTTTTCTATATATATTGATGTTATATAAATATATGTATATATATATATTGATCAATATAATTAGGATATTAATATATATAATAAATTAAATTAAAAAATATTATACTTAGTTAAGTGAAAAATTATATATCAATTCATTGCCCTCTCGTCATGCTCTTGATCTATACAGCCATCTTACGACAACAGTGAACTCCACTTAGGCCATAATGAAAACTTCCTAATATATCAATGACTATGACAACCAAACACCTAGCAAAAATGATAAGAGTTTTATCTAGCATGGAAGTTTCTTAGGTTCAAGAACTGAATGGCTAATGGATGGCTGCCCAAAGCTTGCAGGTCAATTTACAAGGTCTGCTACCCAATGACAAATAATAGCAAATGCTTTGATGCGGCCTTCCTAAATGATGTTTGTTCTTAGTTTCTCTAATAAGGAGCTATGTATTTGTCTTGTTGATGAAATTGTCACCAAGTCTTTCCTCAGTATGAAGTATAAGATTTGTGACATTGTGGTATTCACAGTGGGGAATACCAATTGTTAGTAGTAAATAATAAAATGGAGCATGGGGCCAATATGATCTTAATAAGCACTCCTAACAAGGCTAACATAATAATATTTGATTCAATGTGACAAAGTACAATACCAAGAGGAGGGGGTGAATTGATATTCTAAATTTTCTATTTTATTCTTCAGTTATAGCTATGTGTATATGTATCAACATAAGTTCTCACACAATCTCTTTGTTCTAGGTTTAGGTTTACCTAAGTCAATCTCCTTCTGTACATTGGTTCATTCTAGTCTCTCTCTCACACTTATTAATATGAGAAACACATAAGTTTTTATATTTCCTACTAGAGTCCAAAGGATCTTTCCAATTAGAGTTACTATTTCCTTTTAGAAATACAACTAATTTCACTAGATCAGTGGCCCAAACACTCATGTCTGATCTCCACATATATCATACCCTTCATAAGCAAACTTTTATTCTCAACACCTTGTGCCTAAGTCAAGCACACTGGTTACCTCAAAAATCATGTCCTTCACAAATACTTTTAGTTTCTCAACACTTTGTATCTCAGCTCAAATCTCTCTCCACTCACCACTTAGGTTACCATAGGACTTGATAGCAATAATTGACCTTTGATGTAATTGTTGACCTAAATCAACGTAGTAGATTAAGTCAGATGACGAAGCTTTCAACTCTTTCTTTGAAGCAAGCAATAGCTTTGTTTTGATGAATGGAGTAAGATATTTCTCTTGAGCTTGAGTGAATGATGTAGATCAATACCTTCATTCAACTTTAATTTTGGTTCATCATAATTTGAACCTAAGAACAATCACACAAATTTGAAATTCTTCTCATTCCACTAGTGCATTAGTGGCCTTCAGATGTTATTTAGTTTGAAATTTTATATTCTTACATAAGTTGTCCTTGCTATTTTGTGTAAATATATGTAATAGATCAATGAACCATTTTGCCTTTAGAATCTAATAGAATACAACTGTTGAGCTTGTCATTTTGTCCATGTATTATGTCAACAAGTTAACACCCAAAATTCATGCCTTTGGCCTTTGATTATTTTTTAGTTTAAATCTTCTAATTCTTGTGTAAGTTTTTTTTGATATTTTTTTTAGAGATATGTAACTTATTAACATACTCTTTTTTTTTCAGATCGAGATCAAATATAGTTGTTGAGTTTGTCATTTTGTCCATGTATTATACACACATGTTATCATTTAGGGTGTGTGCAACTAACCTTTAGTTGTTCCTCAATTCAAGACTTATATTTATCTCATATATCACACTCAAAGATTTGGACTAGAGATATGTGATATTTCAATGATTATTTCTGCTTCTAAAGTTAAGTCAAATTATGTCATTTTCTTTTTGTTATTTTCTTCATATATGCTGTTGACATATTACCATCTAGGATATGTGATGAAGACTTCCCCACTTCCATGAGAGCTTTATGTGAACCCTTTATTTCAGTCATTCTATAGGACTAGAGCTTGATTATTGCCTCAATTAGTAATCCTTTGATATTCTCTCATGTTTCTCTTATAAGATTTTCAGCCTGCCAATGCTAATATTATAATTTTTAAATCCCATCAATGTCTTTATCCTTCATGAGAATCAAATCTTTCAATTACCATAAATCTCACATTTCCTTAGCTTACATCTTCAGTTTGAATTTCATGCATGACTTTGTGTTCTGATTTTTCAAGTATTTTCTTCATTGAAGCAATTTTCTTCACATTGCTCAAGTTTTGTGTTCAAATTTCACAACTGACTTCGCATTTCTAAATTATACATAAGACTTCATAACACATGTTAACACATATTCTCTATACTTATCTTCTAGAAATATGATGCTATATTAATTCAACATGAAGAATATCTCAAGGATGTAACTTATTAGATTCATTATTCATCAAAGGATTATTTTGAACAACATTAGTAAATATTTCGAATGATACTAAACTTGTAACATCATGTGATACAATGTGTCTACAAAGTTTGATATTTCAAGTGTTAAGTCAACTTATGATTTAATAATATTTTATAAATTATTCATAAATAAATTTCAATTGAAATTGTCTAAAATAAAGGGCTTCAACTTGTAAGTCCCAGAGTCTATAGTTATACTTTAATTCAACTAGACTTAAAACTCTGCTTGTGATAATTAACAATAAATCAAAACATAAAATAATTTCAAAATTTATTAGTAAATCTTTTAATGGCTAAGTTTTTCTTTAAGTTGATGTAAATTTTTTAATTACAGTTTGAATGAATTTACTTTTAAAACTTTTGAAATATTGAAACATTTTGAGTTTTTAAACACAACAAAAAAAACTTATCATCTTGATCTACTGGATTTTTAAGTGATGGTCTACTCAAACTTCTCAATACCAAACTTTTTAGACATCTTGTACTCTTCAAAACACCAATTTTAAATGCCCAATAATACTATCATACTAGTATGTTGGGAGAACAACATTAAATGATAGTGTAATATTATAGTGGAAGAATGAAACAAGATAAATGATATCCACCAAGCAATATTATATATTACTTTCTTTGAGAAAAGTTAGAAAAAGGGAGAAGTATGGCACCCCAAAATTTAATATAGAATAGATGGGTTACTACACCTTTTGATGGTCACAAAAACAACAGGAATATCCATTGAAAATGTGGAAACAAAGTACATAAATTGAGGAGAATGAACTCTAATCAAGGCATGAAATGGAGGAGATGTTGGACCATTATATTGTTTGCAGTTGAAGAGAAAGAGTTTCCATCTTTGATTTTCATCTCTTATTCTCTCTCATTGGGACCTTTTTTAATATCTTTTATACAAAAGGGGACAAGGCTAGCTTAGTACCTAAAATCAGTCCCTAAAATAAAGCATAATGGAAAATAAAGAGCTTGCGCAGATCTCTCCCAGATGGTTGACCAAGTGAAACTAATAGAACACTTCTTGAATATTATTATGACAAAAGGACCTAGGTACCTACGAATATTCACTGATGATTAGTCAGTGCTCTACCTTAGTAATAAATACCAAAGTTTTAGCATATTTGGTGAAGTTTATTTCATAAATCCTGCACAAACTATTAGAATACATTCTCGGTTAGAACATTTTTTTGGGGCTGGTATTCCGTAAAAGCATCTCGTTATACGTCATAGTTGACGTACGAACTAATTGAAATGGCCTAACTCTACAGATTGAGTCTTTAAGGCTTGTACATTAGGGAGAAAATATTTATGTTCGGCTGCAGCGAACCCGTGGCTTGAATGACACCACACAACGCCGAACAACACCGAGCCTGCTTGGTCTTTCACGGCAAATTATTTATCTCGAGGACCCACCTGTCGACTGCCATTCCTAAGGTTACTCTCTCTCTGTCTCTGTCTCTCTCTCTCTCTCTCTCTCTCTCTCTCTCTCTCTCTCTCTCTCTCTCTCTCTCTCTCTCT